CACCCCCCCCCCCCCCCCCCCCCGGCACCAGGCTTTCGATTCCGGGACTCAGCCGCACACAACAGGTGTGGTACGAGGCCACCCCAAGGAGGGCTGGCTAGGAGATTCCAAGTCTCGCTTGTCAGGACAGCTCCTGCGCCCACTTCGGGGGCCGAAGGGAAGGCCAACCGTCACGGATCTCAAGAGCGAGCGAGCGAGTGTTTGAGAGAGAGAGAGAGGGCCAGAGAGAGGGTCAGAGAGAGAGGTCTTGGGCAGGAGTCACTCTGCTCTCGGGTGGGCACTCTCTCTCTCTCTCGGCTGCGATTCACAGCCATAGGCTCCCAGCCGCCACGTCCTGCTGTGCCAGGGGGCATCACGGCCTCCGGCACGCCCACACCGCCGAGCCACTTCAGCACCTCCCCATCTCTCCACCAACTCACACAGCGGCAGGAACGGTGCCGCAGCACGGGAGCGCCCAGCCAGCCAGCCAGCCAGCCAGGGTTCTCTGCTCTGGGGGCCCAAGGGAGACAGCAGGCCTCCCCCCCCAACTCCCCCCCCCATCTGAGGAGCAAAGAGGACGGAGGCCTGCATCCCTCCCGAGGCACCCCGGAGAACTCTCCGAAGCACGCGGGTGGAAATCCCCCCCCCAGGGCCACCCCCCCCCCCGGGGCCTCCGTGCCGTGTGGAAGAGGCACACACTCACCATCCTTGTGGACCCTCATGGCGGAGGCGGTGATGTCCGTGGTCACATTGAAGTAGGGGAGCCACAGGTCCTGCAACGGACAGAGGTGGGGGCTCTGTGAGACCAGGCTCAGGGGGGCCACACGCGAGGGGGACCGAGGAAAGGGGGACATCATCCTCCCTCTGCACAAGCAAACACACGTTCACATGCCCCTGACGCCAGCAAAAACAGTGCACCAAGGACAGCCGAATTCCGCAATGGGAGAAGATTGGCATAACTTGCTCTGTTTCTCCTAGCAAGGGGCCAAAGGATCGAAAACAATGATGAGCTCTGAAAATTTACTTCCCCCGCCTGCCCCAGCTAGGGAACCAACACCTGCCAGCTTCACAGAGGGAAAAAAGCAGAATGGAGAAATCCACAGACTGATGGATTCTGCATCCCTGCGGCACAGTGACAGAGACACACCCGCTGGGCCTCCTCCGGAGTGTGGCGCTGAAACTGCAGCGCTCCCTTTCTCCCTCTTTTCCGATGTCTCTTCCCAGCGGGCCGGGGGTGGGGTGGGGTTAAGGAATCCCTGTTTGGGTGTCTACGTGCTTGTGTTTTGTTTAATTGTTCTAGCTTTTCTTTATATGCATTTTAAAATCTGTTTCCATGTTTGGACTGCTTGCCACCTTGGGGATCCCGAACTGGGTGGGAAGGCAGTGTGGAGAAATGCCTACTATTGTTTCCTAGAAAGCCTCAGTGCAACCCCCACATTTAGTTTTAAAAGTTTTTCTCTCTCCTAGCAGAAGACAGGCTAAAAGAGGAAAGTCGATAGCTTCCCAGTATCACCCAAGTACCGACGGCCACAGCTTTGGACATGCTAATGGTCATCCTGGCCAGAGAGAGTGAAATGGCCCTGTTGAGAAAGAGACTGATATTTGCTTTTTATGGAGTTATATCTGCTGACACACACACCACGTGAACTGTGTCTACAAATATACCCATAGGCTTAAGGGAAAGCTGCTTGAGTCACCTGTTGTGAGAGGTTTCACATAGAAGGTACCTGCCTGCATTTCATGTTAATGAAGCTGGCAAACACATACAGCTCCTAGCCTAGGGGAAGAGAAGCACATTTCGCCATTGTTAGCAGAAACCACAGCTTAAAGACAAGCAATCCCCCATTACTAGAGGACTTGATGTCACACAATACACGGATCTGATCTACATCTGAATTGCCATTTCCTGGCAGATGTTGCTTTGATTGCCTGGGAAAGCCGAGATCTATCTGCACATCAAGGAAGATCCTGACGCCAAGACTTCACACCTGACCAGATGGCTTGTCCCTGAGTTAGAGACTAGTGTTTCAAATATTGGCCAAACCCCTAAAGTAGACACCCTTACTACACGCACCAATGGTTGTAGTCATGGGGCAGACTAACAGGTGGGTGGATCTCAGGATGGCAAGGCTGCCACACCCCCCAAAGATTCACCTATAAAAGGTGAAGACCATGTGTTGGGTCTTTGCTAGCCACAAACCCTTCATCATCCTCTGTCTGCTTTTATCCCCTAAAGTCCAGCTTGCTATCAAACAACCCTTTGTCTAGTCTTGATCTCTTGGACTGCAGCCAAAGAGGTCCACACTTTGCCGGCTGGTTCTGGCAGTGTGACTTAGAAATACCCCTAGGTTCTATTTTCCTACCCTTCATTCTTCATTGCAACAGACAAGGCTTCAGGACAGATAAGTATGAACGATACCTACCTACCTCCTAAGTAAAAAAGAACTATTTTTCTATTTCTGTACTCCTAAGGAACTTGATTGTATGTGTGTGAGATTCTGTTTTGTGTGTATGCGATTTTGATATTCTTCAGTAAAAGACAAAGTGTTTTGAATTCACCAGTCTCGTCTCTCTCACTGGGACATTCTTGGGGTGGACTGGACCTCCGTAAACTTTGGCAGGAACCTATATTAAATTTAGTTCGCCATCTGCTGTAGATAAAGCAGTCTGGCTAACAGCCCGCTCACACCTGAGCTGGAATCTGACACCAAGAAGGTGACACAGAAACGTAGGGTTCAAGAGGCTCGACTGTATCTTCCTGGAGATTTCAGAAAAGGATTCTTGGACCCACAGGGAGTGGGTAAACAGAAAAGATAAAATCCCCTGATATGGAGGGAGAGGATCTGTTCTTATGGGTCCATCTTGATGGCCACCATTGCCAGGTGACGCAGGAAAAGGGATGCCTGGCCAAAGACTCCAGGGCCAAGGGAAGCTTTTAGAACTCTGTAGCTCCTAAGCTAAAGAGTCTGCCACAGAAAAAGGTCCGCTAGGGCATACACAGAGTCAGGCATAGCCAAGCAGCACCTTTCTTCCGTAGTCCTTGCTTACTCGGTCGTCATGCAGAGAGTATGCACACATGGACATTTTACTGTTAATGCACCCTTTACTATCTTAAATCACCACATAGACCTCCACTGTTGTCAAAACAGGCGCTGGGGAAGGGAGGCGGTCCAGTGGCTAAATGGCTGTTTAGAATCATAGAGCTGGAAGGGACCTCCGAGGTCATCTAGTCCAACCCCCTGCTGCACAAGGCAGGGAATTCACAAACACCTCCCTCTCCACACACACACACCCAGTGACCCCTGTTCCACGCCCAGAAGATGACAAGAAGCCTCCAGGATCCCTGGCCAAAGTGGCCTGGAGAAAAAGTGCTTCCTGACCCCAAAGGGGCACAATCAGCATTTCCCTGAGCATGTAAGAACAGTCCACAAGAACTAAGCACTGAGGCAGCCCTTCCTGCCCTCCCTTCACATGAGCTGCCCAAGTTCACAGAATCCGCATGGCTGTCAGATGGGGCCACCTAGGCTCTCCAGGCTACCCTTGGTCTCCAGACCCCTCACCATCTTCATTGCCCTCCTCTGGACACATTCCAGCTTGTCTATATCCTTCTTAATTTGTGGTGCCCAAAACTGAACACAGTACCCTAGGTGAGGTCTAACCAGAGCAAAGAGTAAAGTGGTACCATCACCTCGCGTGATCTGGACACTGTTCTTGGGAGTACAGTATTCCTTGGGAGTGGTGCACAAGTGCTGGGCGGCAGCAGGAGACACAGTTCCTAGGCTGAGCCTGAGAATGGCAGTGCAGGAAGGGAGGCTGGGAGTGGATCAGCCCTCCTGACGGATAATTCCTGAAAGAACCAGTCGGTGGCAGCACACCAGGGAAAAGGAGTGGGTAAACAGAAAAGATAAAATCCCCTGATACGGAGGGAGAGGATCTGTTCTTATGGGTCCACTCCTCCGAGGGGTGGTGCTGTGCTGCCAGGCAGAGATCTGGAAGAGAGTGGGGGCACCGGGGCACCTTGGAGGGCCAGACACAGTGGGGCGTCTGAGAAGCAGCAGCAGGGCCGTTCTGCCGCAGGTGGCACAAACATGTTTTACATACAATGTTAAATCAATAAAGGGACATGGCGCACCGAAGCTGCAGGTGCTGGGGGGATCCTGAGGCGACGTGGGAGACCTGCTAAGACCAGAGCAGCACCCACAGGGGCACATACCTCCACCTGCTTGTCCTGGAACACCTTGTGGATGCTGGCGTTGAACGCAGAGCCAGAGAACATGGAGGTGATCGGATACGTGAGGTCCAGCACAGTGGCGAACACGGAATTCATGCTCTGCGGGAAGGACCGACAAGCATGTTGGGAGGGAGGCCTTATTTGGATGCGCAAGCAGACGCTCGCGGAGAGAACCTTATTCTTTAAAATTTCCAACGATGACTCCGTCCCTCCAGCAGGCCGCAAAGGGAGGTGGTCGCCCCACCCCCACCCCAAGTCAACTGCCTGCACCCCACCTTCATCAAGGTCGATAAGGAAGCAGAAACGGACGCCCCCGGAATGCCGTGCCCCAGACGGGAGGTGTTGCAAGGAACCTCCTCTCTGTGCTTTGGACTGCTTGGATCCTCTGCACGCTTTCCACAGGCTGAAGAAACACCCCCCCCTCCTGTACCTCCTGCTCTCCCTGGTCTCCCCATCTCCCAACCCCGCTTCCTGCTTGCCCCCCCACCCACCCCGCCTCCTTGCTCACTTTGGCCCATTCTCTGGCTCGCTGCTTGGTGCGCACGGCACTCCTCTCCTCCGCATACAGGGCACCAATGAAGGCTCCAATGGAGGTTCCACCAATCAGGTCGATCGGGAGGCCGGCTTCCTCCATGGCCTTGATCACCCCAATGTGAGAGCAGCCCCTGTGGGGGAAGGGGGAGCCCGTGCTGAAGCCCACCTGCCTTCCGCGCAGACCCCCCTGCCCACACCGACCCCTCAGGCTTCCCGGCGGCCTCCTCCTCCTCCTCCTCCTGAGAGCCAGAGCCAGAGGCTGAGCCTTCCGCGCTTCTGGACTCACAGCAAGCACAGCCCAGGCTTCAGGCACCACGGTCCTAATCAGGCATTCCTCCTAAGGAATGCAGGGATCGGGGCCCTGCGGGGTGGCAGGAGTGAACTGAGGGCAGAGGGCTCCGTTCCTCGCTTCACACGGGCCAGGAAGATCCGCCGCACCTCACTGGGCCCTGCCGCCGCCCAGCAGACATTCATTCCTCTTGGTGCCCGGGAACAGATTACCTGGCCCCGCCTCCGCCCAGCACCAAAGCGATGGTGTTGCCTGTCAGGACTCGCGCCAGACGGGAGAAGTCGCTGTGGCGATCGGCATTTTTCTCAAAAACCTTCTCATACATCTCTCTCTGAGGGGACAGGGGGGCGAAAAAAGCAACAGCAGAGGCATATAAGGACAGCAGAGCGGCAGTGCTGGATCAGACCAGTGGTCCATCTAGATGAGGACCCTGTTTTATGATGTGACCCACCACATGTCCCTGGAAGAAGAACATGGAGACAAAAGTTCCCCCCCACACACACACACATACCCCCGGCCGGTCCCCAGCCATTCGCACTGGAATCTGTGCTGCCTCTAAGACCCAGGAGAGTCCGCCTGAGTCTTTGTGGCTCACAGCCATCGATGGGTTCGGCCTCCACGAGTTTGTTCGGTACCCTTTTGAAGGTAACCGAGAGAGTGGCCATCCCTCTGCATCCAGGGGCAGGGTGGATTTTGCCAGCTCATCACTCTGCGTGAAAGAGCCCTTCCTTCTGCCCGTTCGGAACCCGGTGCCCTTCCGTTCCATTGGGTGCGCCAGGATCTTGTCTCATGAGAGGGGGTGGGGGGGGAACCTCCTCTCTGTCCGCTTCCTCCGCCTCACTTCTAACGGTATGAACCTCTTTCCCATCATGGGCGGCACCTCCTCCCGTTGCCTTTCTTCTCAGCTCCAGCCCTTCCCCCCTTCAGGGCAGGTTATCCACATAGTCGTTTGGGCGGCCGCCCTTCCCTCTCCCCCTTTCTTCCCCAGGGCTGCCAGGCTGGACACAGTGTTCCAAACACAGCAGAACCACAGGCCTGTACGAGTGCATCACGGCACCAGCCGTTTGGTTTCCAGCCCCTTTCCTGAGGATCGGAAACTGACCCTTTTCCTGCAGAGTCGGCATCGCCACGGGGCTGCCCACGATGACCCCAACATCTCTTTCTGGGCCAGTCACTCACCACCCGCACAGAACCCGTCACTGAAGTCAGGGTCCTTGATGTGGGGGGGGGGAGGGGAGGGGGGGTCCATTCCCACGCTGGACTTCCTGTGACATTATTTCCCACTAATCTGGTTTGGAGGAATCATTGTGGCTCCTCCCGTAATCCCCTGAAGGGAAGTGTTTGAAAATCTGTCTCTGCTTTGTTGCCTTTCAAGGAGTCCACTTTCTCATCTGCCAGCCACCCCCCACCTGCCTACGTTCCTCCAGCCTTTGCCACGGGAGACACTGAAGCCAAAGCAGAAGGCAGGCTTGGGGTAGCTGGAGGAGGCACCGTGTCCGGCTGGCTGAGGCGGCAAGGCCAGGGAGAAAGGACACCTGGAAGCAGAGATCCATCCAAGGAGGCCTGGCCAAGCAGGGAACAAAGGACACCGAGGTTTACATGGAAACGGAGGGAGAAGTGCAGGTGGAAAACAGAGAAAAGTGTATTGGTACCAGTTTATTAGGACTGCGCCGTGAAAAGACCCGGCGTGGACATTTGATGTGCAGGTGTCCCGAGCACCAGCTGCGCATATTGAGCCATTCGACAGTGCGGGCAGGGCTGGGCCCATCTTCACGGTGCAGAAGGATGAGCTGCTTCAGGGCGCGCACGGCCGTGTTCTCCAGCATCTGCTCTAGCTGAGCAAGACAAGAGACAGCAAACTCACTGCCTTTGCTCTGTCACACGCAGGCTGGCAGTCACCCCCCCCCCCCACACACACACATCTGTACACTGGGATACTGCAGCCTTACATCTGGGAGAAAATTCCCAGAAACTCACCTTGTTAAAGAAGAAGAGATTGGATTTATACCCCGCCCTTCCCTTGGGAGTCTCAGAACGGCTGACTATCTCCTTCTCTTCCTCTCCCCACAACAGATACCCTGTGAGGTAGGTGGGGCTGAGAGAGCTCTTTTGAGGACTGCTCCTAAGAGAACGGCTCCAAGAGAACTTGTGACTGACACAAGGTCACCCAGCAGCTGCATGTGGAGCAGTGGGGAATCAAACCTGGTTTGCCCAGATTAGAGTCTTGTCTACACCAAAATTTCCCTTAAAGAATCCTGAGTGCCAGTCCTCTACGGCCAAGGAAGTCTCTTATTATAGAATTCCTGCTCTCAGGAAGACACCAGAAACCACTGAGATGGAGACTCCCCGCCTACCTCCTCGACATCTGCCTCACAGCCTAAGGTAAAGGTAAAGGTAGAAGAAGAGAAGAGATTGGATTTATACCCCATGGCCCTTCACTTGGAGTCTCAGAGCGGCTTACAAACTCCTCTCCCTCCCCCTCCCCACAACAGACACCCTGTGAGGTGGGTGGGGCTGAGAGAACTCTGACACACACTGCTCTTTCAGGAACAGCTGTGCCAGAGCTTGTGACTGACCCAAGGTCACATCATCAGTTGCAAGTTGGATGAGTGGGGAATCAAACCCGGTTCTCCCATATTAGAGTCCGCACACTTAACCACTGCACCAAACTGGCTCTCCCCATAATCCCCTGAAGGTAAAGGTTTCCCTTGCTCGAGAGCCAGTCAAATCCGACTCTAGGGGGCGGTGCTCATCTCCGTTTCCAAGCCGAAGAACCAGTGCTTCCACATTTCTGTCATTCCACAAACTACGTAAAACAGAAGCGTCCAGGAAGGCATTTTTATAAGCTTGGTGGAGCTGTAGTGTAACAGTAATTTACGGAGGCACATCTGGTGAGTTAAAAGTCAACTGTGTATCAATTGTACAATCTGTCTCTTGAATATTTCCTGTTTTTACTGCATTGTCCTCTCTGTCTGTAATCCCATTTTCTGCATTGTTTGATACATGTCTGATGCTTTTTGCATTTGTTTCTAATTTTTGTAACCCCAGTCCTAATTCCATTCCTGACGAGACGTCTATGTGATTGCATTATTACATACTGTGTGATCCACCTTGAGAAAGGCAAGCTATACAGAATGCAGATAAATACACTAATCCTAATTCCCTTTGTTCCTGGGCAAACGGCAAACTTGCCAGAGAAGTAGGTACCACGCGGGGTCAGCCAATGATCAAGTGTCATCAGAACCCTTCCGGACCTTGGATGGAGACCAGCACAGCGCAGCAGCAGCAGCAGCCTCTGCTCACGTGGCTCCAAAGCAGCAGAACAGAAATCGCCCCCCGAGCTCCACCCAGCAACTGATCTCCCCAGCCGGCGCCCTGCTCCCCACGGGGCACCTGCACTCACCTCGCCCAGCATGGGCTCCTGGTCCCCCAGCCCCACAATGAGGATGCAGTCAGCTTGCCGGATGCAGCGCACCGTCCAGGGCGTCAGGGTGTAGTCCGTCTGGTACAAGACAATGCGGTGGATGTCTTCCTGCTGGGCCAGCCAGCCAGAGAGCCGGTATTCATGGATGCTGGAGGAAGAACAGGAGGAAGCTGGTTTCCCACTGGACCGCCCCAGCCAGCAGCAAAGCACTCTTACGTTTCTCTCTCTCCCCTGCCCATTGGTGCAGGAAGGGCCACGGTCACAGACGGGTATTTAGGAGGGCATCAGACGGATTCATGGAGGACGGGTCCGCCAAGGGCCAGGACGACCAGAGGAGACCTCTGAATACAGAGGCGGCATCGGGGGATGGCCTCAGCCCCCATATGCCCTGCTTCTGGCTCTCCAGGGCAACAGGTTTGCCACTCTGGACTAGAGGGACCCCACCGGTGTCATATTCTGCATGTCGTGCAAACACCACTGGCTTCGCAGAGAGAGTCCGCACAACCCAGAGGAACGTGGGAAGGGCGGCCCCAAAGACAGCAAATGGAGATCGCTGGAGGAGGAGGAGGAGAAACAACAACAACAGCAGACAAACTGCACACGATGGAATACTAGCTGGGACACCAGAAGAGCAGCCTGCTGGGTCAGACCAGGGAGGGTCCCTCCAGTCCAGCCTCCCGTCTCTCCCACAGGGGCCAGCCAGTCCCTCTGGAGGAGGGCCAGCAACAGGGCAGAGAGAGGCCGAGGCCTTCCCCTGATGTTGGCCTCCTGGCTCTGGGATCCAGAGGCTTTTAGTGCCTCTAAATGTGGAGGTTCCCCTACTAGCCACAGACAGACTTATCCTCCATGAATCTGTCTAATCCCCTCTGAAAGCTGTTTATGCCCGTGCCCATCACTACACCCTCTGGCAGCGAATTCCAGATTCTAATCAGTGTAAAGTGGTATTTCCTTCTGTCCGTCCTGAACTTACTGCCCATGAGAGCTTCCTTGGACGCCCTTTTGAGTTCTAGTCTTTTGGGAGAGGGAGGAAAATGGGGGACGACTTAATGGCTAGGTGAAGCTACAGGACTCAAGAGACCCCCCTCCCGGGCACAGCCTGGTCCCTGAGCCCGTCTTGTCCCCTTCTACCATCAGCCTACTCTTTACATTGAAAAACAACACCAAGCAGCAAACAGAAAGAGTTCGTCAGCGTAGAAAGCACACCGTGTCCCTGGAAGCTGCGGCCAGGCAGGGCTAGGGAACGGGTTTTGCTTTTGAACACTGATTTTTAAAAAATCTACAACACTAAGAATGATAAATGTTGCGACCTCCACCCTGCAGTCTAGAGACTCTCCCGGCTTCCCCCCAGGGCCAGAACCCCTTACAGATGAGGCTAAACATCTGGAAAATGCCTGGGTAGCAGGACCTTCCTGCCTCGCAGGCCTTGCGCACACACACTCGCACGCATTCTCGCGCTCACACTCACAGAGTACCTGTCCAGCGCTGAGGCCCCCAGCCGGCCTCGGATGATGTCGCTGTTGAGCAGCAGGGTTGGGCCTGTGGAAGAAAAGCAAAATTGGCCATGCTGAAGGAGGCGGGGCCAAAAGAGCAGAAGCCCTGGGAGGGCATCAAGGAGACAGTCGGCACCCGGAGTGTCCAGCGGCACCAGCCAGAGAGGTCAGTTTCCGAGGGTCGGGGTCAAAGCGCTCTGGCTGCCAAAAGCCTACATCCATTTGAAGGTACTCCTGGTCTCTCAGGTGCTTCTGGACTCAAATCTGGCTCTTCTACAGCAGCCCGGCATGGCTGCCCCCTGAAACGGTCTTCCGGGAGAGAGCTGCTCTCCCCGTTTTTTGTCTTCATTTGGCTGCACCCATCTTCCACAGGACCCCAGATCATGTCGTCTGCCTTGCCTGCCCAATTGTTGGCTGAACCACCATTTGCTTAAGGGAGTTACATTCCTCTTAATGAATAAAATGACAATTTTAAAATATGGGCATTTGTCCTAACTACTCTCAGAGGCTAGTCCACAGGAAGACAGGCTGCCCATTTTGAAACAGCTACACTGGCAGCCGGTCTGTTTCCGAAACCAATTCCAGGTGCTGGTTATGACCTTTAAAGCCCTTCATGACTCCGGGGGG